TTCTTGCTCACAGTTCTACTTTAGATAGCTAAGGCATTACCTCAAAAGAGTTGAAAAAAGGGGAGAGAAAGATATATATAAGACAGACAGACAGACACACACACACACACACACACACACACCATAAAAAAAAGTGATTTTAGGCCAGACGCAGTGTCTCACGACTATAATCCCAGCATTTTGGGAGGCAGAGGTGGGCGGATCACCTGAGGTCAGGCAGGAGTTCAAGACCAGCCTGGCCAACACGGCGAAACCCAGTCTCCACTAAAAATTTTAAAAATTAGCTGGGTGTGGTGTCGGGCACCTACAATGCCAGCTACCAGGGAGGCTGAGACACAAGAATGGCTTGAATCCAGGAAGCAGAGGTTGCAGTGAGCTGAGATCACACCACTGCACTCCAGCCTAGACGACAAAGCAAGACTCTTGTCTCAAAATAAATAAATAAACAGTAATTTTATTTGGGGCAACAAGAGAGACCAAATTCCAAGTTTTTACCTAAATCATGTTCTTTATCATCTATCAACTATTTTCACTTCACTTACCTAGCAAAAAACAACTTTAGATCAGATGTGGTAGCTCATGTCTGTAACCCCAGCACTTTGGGAGGCTAAGGTGTGCCAATCATTTGAGCCCAGGAGTTCAAGACTAGCCTGGAAAACATGGCAAAACACTGTCTCTGCAAAAAAACACAAAAATTAGCCAGGCATGGTGGCATGCATCTCTAGTCCCAACTGCTCAGGAGGCTGAGCTGGGAGGATCGCTTGAGCATAGAAGGCAGAGGTTGCTGTTATGAGCCATCAGCCTGAGTGAGAGAGCCAGACTCTGTTAAAAAAAAAAAAAAAAAAGAAAGAAGAAGAGAGAAAACCCTACTTTATAGGGCTTATCCCTGTTACATTTTAAGTTTTAATTACTTTAATCATACCACCATTTAAATGCAAAGAATTCAGGCAAGAAGGGTGGTAATGAAAAAACTTTGAGTTGTGAAGAAAAACTTGGTTTGAATCCAGACTACTATTTCCTAGCTGTGTGACTGTGAACAAGACACTTCATTTCTCTGGACTTCATTTTCCCTAATAGTGCTACAGGAATAAGAACCGCTGTGACAGTCCAATGCAATACTGGATGCAGAACAATAGTCAAATTTTATTTCTCTTTCCTCAAGAAACCATTTTTTTTTTAACTGAGAAGGAGTAACTTTGGAACATGAAACTGTTGGTTGGTTATGGATGTGGTGCGGTTCTCTGAATTGGTAAGGTAAAATATGAACGCAAAGAATAGCACATAGCTTGGAGCAAGAAACTGGGATAAGGAAGCTGAGTGTAGATAAGCTACTCGTTGCAGGTTGTCATGCTTAAAACTCCTCCTGCTCCATTCAATCTCCCCACTCTACTTTTATCCAGTTAAGCCTCACCTGTCACTCACTACCCCTTTCCAAGTAGGAAGAATATGCAGGAAAAAAAGTGGGGGAAAGCAAACAAGTGACAATGTATGCTCTTGGTTACTTCCTTCCTCTGGGCTCTCATCTCCCTTCCTTTCCACTCCTTATTCCTACAGTAAGTACCTTTCTCAGAGTGATCCCTATGCATGTGAATGATCTGTAAAAAATTTAACTTAAACTATAAAATCCCAACCTCCAAGATTCTAAAAAGGTACAAATGTCTTATTTGTTTCAATGTTTTCTTTGAACGAGCACATATTTCATCAGGTAAAGAAACCTTTGGGATTTGATCTTAAAACCATTTAAAGGCATAATCAAAAGGTTTGAGTATCAAACAAAAGCCACCTATCCATAACACATCCTGTTCACAAAAGTGTCCCAGAAACTCGATATAAACAAAATCCCTCTGTTTATTTCTAGGAGTTAATACTGTGGTTTTCTGTATCCAACAGTATGCCTTACATACCCAGGGTTATTATGTTTTCTTCCTCTACTCAAACAGAGCATCCGTTGCTACCATTAACACTGAAGTCCAAGTTATTCTCACAGACAAAAAAGCAGCTGGTCAAGCTAATCCATTTGTTGACTAGCCACCATCAAGCCTCTGTAAGACTGTCTAGTTAACTTAACCTATATTGTCAGAGTACATGAGTCAGAACTTCCAATCCTCTTTCTATCAGAATTTAACAACTCTTCTCTGGCACCACCATGTGAATCGTTTCTTACAGATACAAAAGCAGAAAACATGCTTTAAAAGTAAAAATGTCTAGACTGAATTAAAAAAAGAGAAAGTTTCTTTGAGGTTGGGATTATTAAATTAATAACAATAGCTAACAGATAGTATTTTTGCATGCTAGGCACTGTTAAGTGGCTTTTAAAAATGAACACAAGGTCAGGCACCGTGGCTCGCGCCTGTAATTCCAGCACTTTGGGAGGCCAAGGCAAGAGGATCACCTGAGGTCAGGAGTTTGAGACCAGCCTGGTCATCCTGGTAAAATCCCATCTCTACTAAAAACACAAAAGTTAGCCAGGTGTAGTGATGGGCACCTCTAATCCTAGCTACTCAACCTGTTGAATCCAGGAGGTGAAAGTTGCAGTGAGCCAATATCGTGCCATTCTACTACAGCCTGGGCAACAAGGACAAAATTTTGTCTCAAAAAAAAAAAAAATACAATCTTCACAATAATCTTGTGAGATAAGAACAACTGTTACCTCGATTTTACAAATGAAGAAATGGAAACACAGAGCAAACTACCCCAGCTCATACAGCTTATAAACAGAACTGGAGACCTGGCTCCAGAGCCATCCTCTTAATAATGTAAAGCCCAAATCCCAATGCCTAACAAACATTCAGGCATATATTCAGGCCTTCCTCACACTCTGCAGTACCTACTTTTATTATACTCTACTGACTGAAGTACTACCCTTGGTACTATTTTCAATGTATATTCCAAAACAAAAAATACTCTCTAAAAATTATGTCTGGGGTGTACTATTGTCTTATTTAAAGGGAACAATATCCAGCTTAGATCATTAGAATCTGAGACTTGTGATTCTGCGGCAATTCATATAAGAAAAGGAAACTCAGGTTCAGGGCACTAAATTGGTTATGCACATTAGCCCCAAATATTATTTTTGTTTTGTTTTGTTTTTTTGAGACAGAGTTTCGCTCTTGTTGCCTGGAGTGCAATGGGGTGATCTTGGCTTATCACAATCTCAGCTCAGCGCAACCTTCACCTCCCGAGTAGCTGGAATTACAGGCATGCGCCACCATGCCTGGCTAATTTTGCATTTTTAGTAGAGATGGCGTTTCTCCATGTTGGTCAGGCTGGTCTCAAACTCCTGACTTCAGGTGATCCGCCCCCCTCGGCTTCCCAAAGTACTAGGATGACAGGCATGAGCCACCACACCCGGCCATGGACATTCTTTTTACAGCTATAAACCAAAGGGTGTTTTTTTTTGTTGTTGTTGTTGTTGTTTTTTTTTTTTTCCCATTAGAAAGATTTGGTACCATCAATGAAATTCAACGTATTTTCTAATATTGAAAAGTTGATTCTCAAAGATATCACAAATAAGATACATTAGTACTAATAACAAAGAGCAGCGAATTCTAGTACTCATACTTTGTAAACTTTAAAATACTGTGTTTTCATAATAAATTATCAGATTTTTACTAGAACACTATAAAATACTCTCACTTCTGCATAGATGAGGAAACAGATTAATCACAGTTACGTGCTCCTTCCCACAGATCCAGTACATAGCATCCTGGAACCCAAGTCTCTGGACTTTGCTCCTTCACTTGACCTCTGCTAATGCCCATTCAAATATCATAACTTTTATCTAATAAGCTGAGAGATGTTTTATAAATTTAGACAGAGACAATGTTTTAAACCTATACATACTCAAAATGCATTTTTTTAACATGTCTTACGAATAGTCGTGGCAATAAAAATTGAGCATAACAAGGTGAGTTTCAAGACTAACACATACAATGAAATCATGTGCATTTTTGTTAAATACTATAACAGTCAATGCTCAACACATCACTATTCTCTCATGCCCTCAGTGAAGTGATCCTCAAGAAGGTGAATCTAGACAAAACTGTAGAAAACGTTGCTCTGTCTTTCCGGTCCTAATAATAGAAAAGAATAGCCTCATAGATATGTCTTTGTTTTCCCCGCTACATTATTAATACTTCTTTTTTCTTTCCTACCCCGTACTATCTTTCAATTACACTGTAGTCTAACAAAGAGAACAGGGTGGTTATTTCCATATGGAGATTATGACTGAGTAACTCTCACTTCTAACTGTATTCAAGACATTGGCTTTGTTCTCCAAACATTTCTTCTGAATCGAACCTTTATGATTATATAACCTTTCCTCAACTGTTCGGAAAGTATAAGTAACTGTGCCCGGCAACACCAACTGGTCAGAGAGTGGGACGGCTGCCCTAACAATTGAAGTCTTTTCCCTCCATACAAGGAACACTAAGACCTGCTTGGGAAAGTCTAGGGAAGGGGAGCGGGTGGGCGGTACAAAGGAGATTCGGTCCCTGACCTAAAGAGCAGGGTACCGGGAGGAGACTCGGTCGAGGAAAAAGCCTCAGCTTCGGCGTCAGCAGGGAGACCCCAAACAAGGCTGTGCCTCGGTTTCCTCATCTGCTGAGGAGGGATACACCCCCACCAGCACGCACGCAGGCTGCGGGCAGCAAAATGGGCCTAGAGCGCTGCAGAGTGGCTGACTGTAAAAGACGGATGGCTCCCTGTTTCTCCTCAGGAGTCAGGGACCCCGGCAGAGCACAGGGCAGATGCCAGCCCGAGTTAGCGGGCGCGGTCCCTGCAGCCGTGTGGGCGCCTCTTCGCTCCCGCCCAGAGAGCGGTCGGGCGGCCTCGCCCTCCGCAGCAGCAGCAGCAGCAGCAGCAGCAACCCGGACGCCCGGCCCGGCCCGGCCCGGCCGGACCCACCCCGCGCACCCACCGCCCACCCGGGCCGGGGGCCCCGCCCACCCTGTGCCTGCGTGACTCGTCCCGCTGGCCCCAGGATCCCATCCCTCGCTTACTTTCTGGGAGTCCATGGCGAGGGGCTAAGCCCGCTGGGCCCGAACCCGCGACGACGAACCGTGCGAGGAGGCGCAGCTAGGTCGCACACCCCAAGACTGCTACTCACGCACTGACCCAGCCCGCACCGGCACCGCCCGGCCCCACCCGTCCGCGCCCAGCCCGCGCGCGCCGCCGTCGCGCCGCGGTTGCCAGGGTGAAAGGGCGGCCCGCAGAAGGGAGGGGCCGAGGAGCGCCCCGCGCCTGCGCGCAGCGGCTGACAGGACCCGGGAAGGAGCGGCGCAGGTTGGGGAGCGCTGCCCGTCTGCTTCCCGCTAGTGCTTCTGCAGCCTGCCCTCCCTTCCCCCATCCTTTTTCCTCCAGCGACAGCGTTTTCTGCGGCCCTGAAATAGGCCACTGGGCATCCAGCAGCCGGCGGGTGGTGAGGGCACGGGAAGGAAAGGGTATCTGGTGCTGGAGGCCGATCAGCCCACCCTGCACCCCGCACGCATCTGAAGCTCCTCCCCACACCAGCCTTTGAGGGGCAGCCAGGATAGAGCGAACCCAGCGGTCCAATGAGAGGAAAAGGGCTGGGATCGGACATATCGAAAACGTGGGAAAGGGCCATTAGGGGATGTCGTGGAAACGTGGGAGAGGGGATATAGGGATGAGAGTGGCGGAAACGTGGGTATGGGATTAATATGAGCTTTCGGGATTGGCACAGCTTTCCCAGGGATCCTCCCTGGCACATTCCTACCTGTGTGATTTTGAGCAAGTCACTCTCCCTGAGGCTGTTTAATCTTCTGTAAAACGAGAGAAATAATGCGGACTTTGCAGAGGATTATGAGGATTAAATAACGTATGGTCTATAATTAGTACTGAGTAAATTATAGTCATTCTCTTTTTTTTTTTTTTTTTTTTTTTTGGAGACGGAGCCTCGCTTTGTCGCTCAGGCTGGAGTGCAGTGGTGCTATCTCAACTCACTGCAACCCTCCACCTCCCGGGTTCAAGGAATTCTCGTGCCTCAGCCTCCTGACTGGCTGGGATCACAGGCGCACCCTCCACACCTGGCTAATTTTTTGTACTTTTAGTAGAGACAGGGTCTAGCCATGTTGCCTAGGGTGGTCTCAAACTCATAAGCTGAGGCAGTCCTCCCACCTCAGCCTCCCAAAGTGCTGGAATTACAGGTGTGAGCCACTCTGCCTGGCCCATTATAGTCATTGTTAGTGGGGAGTTAGAACCTGCTTAGTGTGACATGAGGCGGCAATAAAGACTTTAGAAAGTCTGGCATTTAGTAGGCTTGAAAAAGTTCTTCCTCAAGCAGACAGGCTCCATCTTCCATTTGGATGACTGTGGAGAGGCTCACAAAAGTTCGATTGGACAGTCATTTATGATGAATGAATAAAAGGGAAATATGTATTAAGTACCTATTCTGTACCAGTTCTACAAACAGAATTCAGTACTGGACAAGGCCCTGTTTCTCTCACATAGCTTACAATCCAGTAAAGGAGGCCAACCAAAAAAATAAAAATAAAATTAGTGTGCTAGGTGGTTATAGGTGCTACAATTAAAAATCAGGCCAGGCATGGTGGCTCACACCTGTAATCCCAGCACTTTGGGAGGCCCAACAGGTGGATTGCTTGAGTCCAGGAGTTCGAGACCAGCCTGGACAACATGGCAAAACCCTGTCTCTACAGAAATTTCTTTTTAAAATTAGCCGGGCGTCCTGCTGCAAGCCTGTAGCCAGAGCCAATCAGGAGGCGGAGGCGGGAGGATCACTTCAGTCCTGGAGGTGGAGGCTGCAGTGAGCCCAGATCACGCCACTGCACTCCAGCCTGGGTGACAGAGTGAAACCCTAGTTCCTACATGAATAAATAAGGCAAATTCATTCAGAAAATGGAAAAGTTTAGTTTCCCATAGAAACATCAGGGAAGGTCTCTCTGGGAAATGCCCTGAGTATAAAATGAGAAGATGAATTGTACAAGAATCTAGGGAAGAACATCCTAGACAGAAGGAACAACAAATACAGAAGCCTCGTGGAGGGAAGGAGCTCTGTGTCTGAGAAACAGCATTTATTCTACAATGTTGTCATTACATCTCCGCATGGATTCCTCTGACTATACTGTGATTTTCTTGAGGGCTGAATTTCTTTTATCCCATATCTCTATCCCCAGCTCAGAGTCTGCCACATAGTATGCACTTAATATATCCTTTTTAACTGGACAGAGATGTACAAGAAATGAAATGAAGTTTACAAAAGGGAAAAAAAGAGCTTGGTTAAGGCTAGGTGGGTGGCGCTTAGAAAGCCAGGGTCCAGGGTGGGCCTCTGTGCACCAGCTGAAAGGAATAGTGGCATGCAATCCTGCAAAGACATGCCTGTCTCTTGGTACCAAGAAAAGAGAGCCTGCTATTCAACCCTTCCCAATTCCATGAGGAACAGCAAATGCAGCCAGGTGCCCAGCCATTAGCCCACTGCTGCAGCCACAAAGGTCATTCTCCACACTGTGTACTGCAGCTGAGTCAGTTTCCCATGAGGCAGAAATGCAGCCTGGGGATTGGAGAACATCTAAAGTCTAATCACCAGACTGCATGCTTCCTGGCTCTGCTCTGCTTGCCACTATGGGACCCACCACTAAGAGGAGGAAACAGGGCTTGGCAATGTCCCCACTTCTCTTGCTGCAAAGACTTTGCCTCATTACTGTCAGAGGGCAATTCCTGGGCACTTTATGACTGACAGGCACCACAGGAGAAAGAAGAAAGAGGCTTTTGGGGACAGTGAGTTGCAGCTGAAATGTGATCACCAAACTCTGTCACAGGGCCACACCCCGGGAGCTCACTCCTGGCTCCTTGCCTCCAGCTTCCCTAATTCCTTCCCTGTAGCCCAAGCCAGGAGACTGCAGCTTTTGACAACATCTCTACCCCATTTGACTTCTGCCCTCGTCCGATCTCCGTCTCTGGCCAGTCTGGCTTTCAGCTCATCCTGGGCCTTTTGCTTCCCCTCGTTCCCGTCTGGAAACAGCTAGCTCCTTCTGACTGTGACTTCCGTCATCCCCAGTTTATGCAAGTTCTCCCATCACAGCCACTTACCAAGCTGTGCTCTAAGTCTGCCTCCCAACCCTTCCCAGTATCTCTGACCTATAGGCAAGTCCTTTGCCTTTTCTGTACTTATTTTTTCACAGCCAAATCCATTTAGAAATTTTCAAAAGTAGTTTAGCAAATCAAATAAAGCATTTGTTCTTAAACGTGATCCCTGGACCAGCTGAATCCACATCACCTAGTAACTTGTAGGAAGTGCAAATTGTCCAGCCTTATAACTGGACCAATTGAATCAGGAACTCTGGAAGTCAAGTCCAAAAATCTGTGTTTTAATGGTTCCTCCAGGTGATTCTGATGAATGCTAAGCTTGAAAGCCATGGAACTGAAAGAAAGCAAATTGTTTACAAAAAAAGGGGCCGGGGGAGGATTTCAGAGACATAAAAATCTCACTTTGAAACCTAGGTTTCTGATTCTTAAAAAGCCTATCTAGTCATAGATATTTATCCAGTTGAGGTTTCTGGGCCTCCAGGAACCCCTTTCTGAGGAAATCTCAAGTTAGAATAGCCTCATAGCGAGGCTGACGTAGAGTGTCTGGGAAAACCGTCTCTCCCAGAACCAGGTTCCTTATCCTCTCTGAGTGCTGCCAGGTGTTGCCCGCAGCCCTGGGCTGCCTCGTATGTTCCAAGATTTCCCCATCTCTTAGGAGAGAAATTTCTTTTCTTTCAGTGTTGCCAGCAGTCTTTCCCTTTGGGAGTCAGTATAGGGCCATAGGCATGGAGTCAGCAGTCTGAATCTAAATCCAGATGCTGCTGCTCACCAGCACCATAGCCTTCAGTGAGTCACTTAACCTTGCTAAACCTCAATTTCCTCATCTGTAGCATAGTGATCGGAATAGTAGTAATTCCCTTTTAGGGTTGCTGTGAGGATTAAAGGAGATTATGTAGGTCAAATGCTGGCTAGTATTATTTAACAAGTGGTAGCTGTTGCTAATAATTACTCTCTTACTCACCGTGTCCTTCTGTTTTACCCTTGCACAGCTCTTTTTCCTTCTGGATCTTTAGGGCCTTAGCAGACCTATTCTCACCCCAACTCCCCTTTTCCCTGTTATACCTGTTTTTTTCTGAAGCATAGTCACTAGTCGAATGCTGTCCTTTGCTGAAGCCCCAAATCTTTGCCCATTGCTCCCTGCTACTGTATCTGGCCTGAGTTTTAGCATTTGCTACCTAGCCTGGGAAGACTCCAAGGCCTCTCTAGGTCTCAGTTTCTTTATCTGTAAAATAAAAATCGTAAAAGTAGCATCTTCAAGGGTTGTTGAGTGGTGAATGATATAATTCATATTAAATTTTGAGCACAGTGCCTGGCATGTAGTGAGCATTCAAAATATATTAGCTATTATCATCTCTTTCTAACCATAGAAACCTAATTAATTCTGATTTTTTTTTTTTTTAACAGAGACACGGTCTTGCTATGTTGGTCAGGGTAGTCTCGAACTCCTGGCCTCAAGCAGCCCTTCCACCTTAGCCTCCCAAAGTGCTGGGATTATAGGCATGAGCCACCATGTCTGGCCTTGTTTTTCCTGCCCTCTTCTGACTAAAAACCAAACTCACCCAAAATCCCTGGAGCCCCTTGGAAGTCAGAGCAAAAATTTCTGATCCTAGGCACTCACTATAGACAGAGTCTCCTAGGAAGGTGATATAGTTTGGCTGTGTCCCCAACCCAAATCTCATCTTGAATTGTAGCTCCCACAATTCCCATGTGTTGTGAGAGAGACCTAGTGGGAGGTAATTGAATCATGGAGGCAGATCTTTTCTGTGTTGTTCTTGTTATGGTGAATAAGTCTCATGAGATCAGATGGTTTTGTGAAAGCGAGTTTTCCTGAACAAGCTATCTTTCGTCTGCTGCCATGGGAAGATGTGCCTTTCGCCTTCCGCCATGATTGTTAGGCCTCTGCAGCCACATGGAACTATGAGTCCATTAATCCTCTTTTTCTTTAAAAATTACCCAGTCTCAAGTATGTCTTTATCAACAGTGTGAGAACAGACTAATACAGAGGGAAAGAATGGTTCTGCCCTAATATGGGCTGGCACTCTATACTTGAAGAGTTCTGAAACAAGTGGTAAGCAGTCAGTGGACAAAAACCTGACTAGTGAAACCATGTGA